GTCGTTGAGGCAATGTTATGGATATCTGCGCGAGTTGCGCTTGATCCTGCAAATAGTTGATTGAAGATCATACTGTAGTACAGTCCCAATGAATACCTCTACGGATTGATCATAACCCTTTTTTTGTGTCATGGATGATTGTGTAAATATGGGTGATGCGAGAGTAGTTTGTTCAGTGAATATTATTTGCTGCTGGAAGTTGATGGAATAAAATTTCAGGTTTTATATGGTAAGATTGCAATGCTTTCCTTCACCTCAGTCGGCTGGTAAATTCCTCTTTCGCTTATGGCGGTGCAAGGTTGTGCTATTGTGGCTGACGCATCAGATGTGTGTGGCTGCTCAGGCGGTTGCTAGAAGAGGTCAAACGTCATCGCAAGCTTCATAAAATTTGGTACCTCTTACCTTAGTGTATTGTTCGGGACTGCTCTCCCGACTGCTTCTGGCAAGTGGCTGCACTGGTGTGTTCTCAAAACTCGTTTGAATCTTAAAAGAATTTGAGAAGTGTCACAACTTAATTGCTGAGATACCCTCCCTACTACCTCAAGGAACTGGTTGCCGCTCCCTCTCCGCTCGCCTTCAGATTGCTCAAGTGGCGTGAGAAGATCCTTAAAAACTGTTTTGTAACAATGAATAGTGTCGTCATCCCAGAAATCAGCACCTTATGCTGACCCTGTCGTCTTCCGAGAATGCCCCTGCGAAGCTGAACGGCCCGTGTTGGCGTTTCCGCTATTAGCTGCTCTTTAGGTTGTAATTCATGCTGGAGAGAATCGAGCGTCATTCAGCTTAGGGGAGAATGCATGTATTTCCTACCGTATTCGATTGATGGGGATCCCTCACGCATCTGCCAGGAAGCTGCATGGATTGACCCTTAGAGTTTAGGTGACACTGAAAGAGGATTAGGGGTTGTCACGAGATGATCCGATGCTTTTCTTTTCACCTCAGCGGGTTGGTTGAGTTTTGCTCTTCGTCCGCTCCTGGATGGCTCCAGTGGAGCTGGTGGGTCCTCGGAAGCTATCAGCTGCTGGAAGCAAATTTATTATCTAGGCTAAGAGAAGTGAGTGGCTGAACCATACGTTAATGGAATGATCATGGTGTCTTCCGCGCATGCTTCTGCGAAGCTGGGCTACCGAAGGTAGTCTCTCGGCCGTAAGCTGCTCCTTGGATCGTGGTTGCTGCTAGAAAAATAAGTGTTAGTGCACTTTTTGAGGGGAAACTTCATTCATTATTGACCTTATTTGATTGGTCGAGGCTGCTTGCCCGACTGCTCGCCGGCGGCTGCATCGGTGCAAACTGCCTTTCAGGAATCATTTGAAGCTATGAAAGGATTGACAATTGTTGCAAAGTCAGTTACTTAGATGCTTCCCCTTACCTCGATGGTTTGATGGAGTCTTTCTATCTGTCCGCTGTCGGGTGGGTGCAGTGGTGTAGGAAGGTCCCCGAAAGCTG